GAAGTGGTTCTTTGTTGGAGAGTATCTCCCTGTCCTGCGAATGTAGTAAATAACAGGACCATTTTCTTGTTCTAAAATACAAGACTATGTAAAGGACAAGAGTGAAACAATGGAGAGATGACTGATGACTGCAAACCACAACGAAGCCCTTTGCCCTCGCCCGCTCACTCTGACAAGGCGGGGGTGGGCTCACCCTGCAACGGCGCACACCGGGCCACCAGCTGCAGCGGAAAGAGCGGCCATTAGGTTTTGAGGTTTTCTTTATACTGTGACCTCTGTTTGTTTTGAGAATAAAATACCGTGGTCATTAAAATCATTTATGTTTTCTAAGTCCATGAAAAGGCTTGCACTTCATATTCAACAAATGTGTGCCTAAACCAGAAGCAAATTAGGTGCTTAATTTAAAATAACTGTTCAGATAAATAAATCTTACTTTTAAAGGAGTTGCATCTGCTGGTGGCATTCACTCAATAATCCTGGGCACCTGTGGTTAAAGAGGAAGGGAAGTGACACCTGAGGGGCTGCAGGGGAGAGGGGGTCCTGAGACATAGGGTTCAGTGAGGCTGCAGGTGGCTCTCAGAGAAATGAAGGGTGAGACAGCCTTAAGATAGGAGGCCAGTGGGGAGTGGGCTTGTGGAGATGCAGCCATTCAGGATGACGACTCGGTTTCAGCCTGCAGTCCCAGAGTGAAGTTGTGGAAATGCAGGTGACAGTCCAGGAGCTGATGGGATCCGGGACTCTGAGCTTTGGGTACTGGATCAACCATCCATGTAGACACCAGGATGAAGGATGGAGTGGATGGGAAGACGGGAAGTTGGGTGCTAAACTCTCGGTGATGCTGGGGAGGGGTTGGAGGCCATCAGATGACAGTGATAAGGAGGGAGACAGCGGAGGGAGGGACAGCCAGGAGGTGAGAGCCTCAAAGCAGTTGGAGGTATAATTAAATCGACCGCTGTAACCTTAGCGTTCTGCCAAGAAGGGTTTTACTACCCCCAGTTTTGGAAAGTACGCAATCAGGCTGTTTGCACGGATGACTTTCCAGGGAGCAGGATGTGAGAACAGAGGGGATCACAGACTTAACACCTGTCACTCCTTCACTCGGCAGATGCAGAGACTGACGTCTACACTCACTAAGGCCACAGCCAGCAAGATGGGCTCACGTGATCCAAAATTCAGTTAAAATAGTGGGAGGCAAACAGAGACAGAGACAGCATCTTAGCAGCCTGCCTGCCTCCAAAGGTCACACACAGAAGAGTGTCCCTCGCACACCTGCCGCTGCTTTCAACCTGCACTCATTTTACGACTTTTTTCTCCAAAGGCAACAGCATGGACCAGTCTGTAACTCTGGGATTCACTTCCTTCAGAGAAGACGTCTGTGTACCAGCCCTCCTCCTTGCAGCTCTGATGGTCAGCCTGGTCAGGGAAGCCCTCTCCTCTTCATCCCCACAGGAGAGTGGTCAGGCAACACTAGGGTTGTGTGCGTGTACACGGCAGCTGTCATCCAAAGGACCTGCAGTGGCCTTCAATACTTGAAGGGGAACCATTCATGCACTGTTTTGGTTATGCCTCAAATAAAGCCGAGCTTTTAAAAATATGGACTAGCTACAAGACAATGAAATCTATGTAGTAGGTGGTCACCAACATTTAAAATAATTAAAATACAGAGCAGAAGATATCTGATGCAATTCAGATGCTCTGTGAAATTTTCATTCAGGTGAGCACGTATGTGTGTGTGGTGGGTCCTCTGTGTGTGTGCTGAAATGGTTCTCAGCAAGATTTAAAATTCCCAAAGATGTATTGTTTTAACCCTAATTTTATTAACCAAATATATTTAACTTCATAGTAATTCCAAAAGCAATTCAATAGAGGGTTTTTTTTTAATTTTTGTTTGTTTTTTAAGGTTGGGAAAATTTAAACAAGCAAACCTGCCTCATTTCCTACTGTGCCCTGGAACTACCTTTGATTGTTAAGTTCATTCCTCACAAAGATGAGTCTCCAAATGGAATATTTTCATGAGAACAAACTTAATCTTGGTAAGCAATCATGAAATGTGAAATAAATGGCCAAGACTCTACATGTAGTTTTTTTCAGAGACTGTAATTACCTACTTCAAGATTAACGGATAAACAAATGTTAATAACTTTTATCCCCAAATCTTTTTTCCATCCAGTCATTCACCACTCTAAATTCATCTCCTTAGCGAAAGACACATACTGTGTTGCAGGACTTTATTGGCTGGAACAGAAGGGACAGGAACCAGAGAACAGGCAGCAGAATTACTGCGAGGCCAGGCCCAGCCCAGCAGGGGGCGCTAACTGATGGCCAGGCACCACGGCTGCGGGTGGTCATGGGGGCTGTGACGAGGGCATCATTCGGAGGGTCTGAAACCCAGTCAAAAGGAACAAGCGATGGCTTCGGCATCTGAGCGGGGACGTCAGACTCCTTTCACTGCTCACGCACGGTTTTGGTCATACCTGAACGCTGAACTTTTCAAAATATGGCCTAGCTAAAATATGAGGAAATTAAGTAAGTGGGTGATAACTGGCACTTAAACAAATGAAATGGTAGAGCAGAAAATATCAGGGTGCATCCCAGGTGCTCTGTGAAAGATTTTGCTCAGTGTGTGTGTGTTTGTGTGTGTGTGCGGGTGTGAGCACACGCCAGGTCCTCATGGACAATGCCTTTCTAATCGTGGATCATAATCAAATGTGTTTGAAACCACTGCTCTAAAGGACTGGGAGTGGGACGCAGATACCGAGCTGCCCCCTTGTCCTGGGGGTCTGACACTGCCTCAGAGGGAAGCTAGGGAAAGGCCCCGGGAGGGTGTCCCACCCACAGAGCCGGGACACGACTGACGTAAGACCCACTAGAGCTCTAGCCGCGTCCTGAGCCACCGCACCTACACCCATTCGTCATGCACGTCAAGTCACAACGGCGCTTTATAATAGACCCTCGTTCTACAGCGGGCGTGATCAGGTGGGGACAGGTGCCCACCCCTAGACAGTGGCCCAGCCCGTCCACACCAGAGTCTTAATCTCTACCCAGTGCTGCCCAGTGACCAGCTGCAGTGGCGTTTTTCCTGGTCTTGGGGCCCTTGGCCCAGCTGGTTCTCCCCGAGTTCCTGGAGTGCCTCTCAGCTGTCTGATGGCAGTTTTACCCGCACGGAGAAGTTCACATGCCTCTCAGTGTCCCGCTGACCTCGTCACACTCCTGTATCCTCTGCTAGAGACCTGCAGGAATTTGTTCTCATCATTTTACATCCACCTTCTTCATGAGACAGTGTATCTCCACGAACGAGCAATGTAAGTGCCTGATCTGTTTTCATCTAGGCTGTTAAAACACAGACCTACTGTGTTTTCTTTCAACATTTTTTTTATATTGATTTCACAACCACGAACGAGTGTAATCGAGTTTGAAATAAGTCTCTAGCCTGTGTCTACTGAGAGATAAAACACATGTGAAGCAACTGAACACTGAACACTGAGTCCTGAACTGGAGGCCAGCCCAGCCAGCAGACGAGAGCCCAGGGGCCCGTGTCACTGGGCATATCTCGCTGGCGGCAGCTGCCCCTGCACACTGGGACGTGGCTATGCCCCGCTGATACCATGCTTTCACACACACCGTCTCAAGTAATTTTCACCACCTTGAGGCACCTGGAGTATTGTCCCTCCCCATTCCGAAGGGAAGCTAGAAGGTTCAGAGAGGGAGTGCCCTCCTCCAGGTCCTTCAGTAGAATCAGGAATGAGGACTTCTGACCTGATACTGTGTTTCTTTCTTTTCTTTTTATAACTTGTGTTTCTTCTTTCGATTGCAAAAGCAAGATGTATTAGTTATTTGAAAATACTCAAAGGTTCTAAGAGGGAAGTAAAAATCACCCAAAGGCTCTTCTTTGTGATAGGCTCTTTTAACACATTTGGGCATTTCTTACTGTTTAGGGTATATTTTATTTCTGCTTTTATAAACATAGTATCGCCTTATACAGCTCAGACGGGGACAGGTGAAGCAGCAACCTCTCCAAGGGGAGGGCTGTTCCCCACCAAAGCCTTTCCCGCTGCTGATAAAAGCTGTTGACCAGCCAGGCCCTCCTCCTTCCTTTTCCTGAAAATACCTCAAAACTCGAGGAACCAGTGGTAGGGGAAGGGGCTGTGGTGGGACAGACTCACTGAGCCAGACTCAAAAAAGTTTTGGAACATTATAGGTTTGAATGGAAAAAAGAGTTTTTCTAACTAAAACTACATTAGACTAAGGGGGGCAGAGAGAGAGAGAGAGAGAGGAGGAGAGAAAGGCAGAGATGGGGAGGGAGGGAAAGGTGGGGGTAGGAAGAGAAGGGAGGAGGAGAGAGTGCTGGCGGAAGCGTGGGCCACGTGGCTTCCAGGACACTCACGGTCCTAGGACACAGCACCGTCAGGGCTTGAGCCCAGAGTCTCAGCTTCTGCTACCTGTGAACCGGCAATCAAACCCTATCACCTTGAGCTGCGTACACATTTTTATATGACATGTTGCTTCTTTTAAAATTCTTTTTTCTTTTTCTTTTTTTGAAGGGGGAGGTAATTAGGTTTATTTGTTTATTTATTCTTTCAGAGGTGCTGGGGATTGAACCCAGGACCTCATGCATACTAAGCATGCACTCCTGCACTCTACCACTTGAGCTATATCCTCCCTCTGACATGTTGCTTTTTGATGACTTTTGGTTGGGACTTAGTAAACTTTCTGTTATATATTTGTATACGTGTGCCATATACGTATTTATAATATACACACGTGGAATTGACATAATTATAAAACCAAAACATTATTCTTAGTCATGTCTCTGTGTAAGATCTACACATTACTATTCCAAATGCATCACATATACACACTGCTACATGTATATATTATATAGTACATGTAATATATATTGTATGTTAAATAGCAGTAAAAATAATAACTGTTACAAAAGCAAAAGAGACAAAGCCAGTCATCCCGACGTGCTGGCCCATCCAACCCCCTGAAGCCGTTACCTGTGTAAAGGAACGTGTTGGAGTGTCCGCCCACCACGACGTCCACGCCCTTCACTTTCTGAGCGATGAGTTTATCCATTTCAAAACCAGAGTGTCCCAGTGCAATGATTTTGTTCACGTTTAAAGTTTGCAGCTTATCTACTTCGGGTTGCAATGCAGCGATTTCATCTTCAAATACTAAATTCGTTCCTAAGGAAGAAAATAAATAAGAATGGACATTTTAAACAATAATTTTTATTATACTGCTTATTATACAGGCATATCAAGTAACCTCCTAAAGCTTAAATTACTAAGACCAAAACTTTTTATAAAGTCAATATAAAATTTCTACAAAACCAATAAAAATGCACAGCAACAGCCTCAGTTACACTTCCTTAATGTGGCATTCGTTTAAGATTGTGGATGGTATTATGTTGCTCAAATTCAATCTCAAACTATGAGGAGGCTTCAGACCAGGAATCTATCTTTTTAAGTCTGTTTTTACATTTAGACTTCCTTTATGCCAATGGCGAACATGTCTGAGCACACAAGCCTGGTGTACTATATGCACGCCAAGTCATTGTGCTGCACATCTTAAACTCATGGTGCTGGATGTCAATCATCTCTCAATAAAACTGAGAAAAAAAAACCAGATTAGCTACTCTATGGCTTTGTTTGCAAGTTCAGGATGATCAGTCTTCATGTTAGCAACTAGTCCTTGAATGCCAGTCTTAAGGTGCAGTCGAGCACTCTGCACTGTCCACTCAACGAGGTTTGCATTAGCGCATCGTCGAGCTCGGATCAGATGGGGATCTCACCCAAGGACAGCTGGCTGGGGGAGTGCACACATCCTTCCTGGCTGCTTACGCCCTGTGCAGTGGGAACAGCAGCTGGCCCACGGGGGCAGGCTGGTCAGTGAGGTGTGACTGCACAGCCCTGGGCTCCGTGCGCTGCAGGCACATGCTACCTGGTGTGGCCAGACCGCCAGATTCTCCCCATCTCTGTGGCCATACCCCAGCACGGCTTGAGGGCTTATGGCTCTTATTAGCACAAAGGTGACCGCAAACACAGACATGCTGCCCTGAAGTCACGTCCAGCAGTCTGTGACTTGGGACCCTCTAGATGATCTGGATTCCCTTATGCTAATAGCTCAGAACCGTCACTAAAATGAAAACATCAAAACATGAATAAATCTCATAAAGATCCTTCCAAACCCAGGAGTCTGCCATCTCCAGTTTGAAGAATATTCCTCTAAGGAGCTACAAGACTGTAGCTGTGGTGTTTGGGGGCCTCTATGTGTGCCAGTGGGGAACTCTGCAGTCCTTCCCATCAGTCAACCCAGTGCGTGCAAATGAACATGAAAAATAAAGGACACAGCTGATGGCAAAGCCAGAGAGACTCCAGACCGACGGCCTGAAACGGAGTGGCTCATGGACGTGTTGGGTGGGACCGGAAGTGCTGTGAGTAACTCACAGGCAACATTTAAAAATTGGGAATGCTAACAACTTGGCCACCATTGTCTGCCACGAGGACATCACGAATAATCTGCTTCTTGCCAGCCCCCCAAGAAGCCCAGGGCTCCTAGGTCACCCTCAGAGCCATATCACCCTCTCTGTGAGCCTCTCCCTGAATGTCCCTTTAAAAGGACAAGGTGTGCCCTCCCCCATGCCTGCTTCATTTCTCTCGATAACATTTACCACCTTCTGATGCACCAAACATTTTACTTATGTATTCATTCTCCCACTAAATGTGTGAGCTCCAGTGGGCAGGGCTTTTTGGGGTCAGTATCCCCAGTGCCTAGAAGAGTACTCGGGGGAACGAATGAATGAGTCAGTGAATGAATGTCTGCTAAGACTTTGAGAGAAGCCTACTATCCTCTGCTTCCGTGTGGCTGCAAGAAGGAACCAAAAGTTCAGAGAAAGGCCTCTGAGGACAAAGGAACCTATTCTCCTAACACACCGGGAACCTCACAGGATCAGGCATCTCATATAAAGAAAGCAGGGGGGATATTTCAGGATATTGTGAGGGGTGTGAGAGGAATTTCATTACGTAGCTAAAACAAATTCAATGTGCTAGAAATACAAAGTCCACCTGTGGGCACCCAGGCCATCAGGACTGAAGGAACGAGGCTGGATTTGGGGCCAGAGACCTGTCGGAGGAGCCGGGCTGCTGGGCCTGTGGTCTTGGAAGCAGCAAGTGTCCCCAGAGGCACTGCTCCACCTGCTGCCCAGCTCCTGCACTGAGTCCCTGCATGATCCAGCCTTTCTCTCCCAGGAGCTGCTGGAAAGAGCTTGGCCCCTTGTGTCATAACCTAGTAAAGAACTAATACGGGGTGCTGTCAGAGTCCCAGCAAGCTGGTCTGATTTCCGGAACCCCCCGTCTCTCTACCCCATCCCTCCCCTTCTGTCTTTTTATTGGTGACTGTTAAGGAAGAGATAATGCTTTTCTCCAAATCATGCTGAACTACTCAGCCGAAGAATCAGTCCTCAGCTACCCCCCCCCTTTTTTTTTTTGGTTTTTCAGTAAGTAGTTGGGTTTTTATTTTTGGAAAAAAAGAAACAGATTTCAAAATGTTCCAAATGGTGTGGCTGGAAAAAAAATTTTTTTAAATGGAGGTTCTGGGGATTGAACCCAAGACCTTGTGCATGCTAAGCATGTGCTCTCCCCTCGGGCTATGCCCTCCCCGCCTCTCACCCCACTTTCGCGCTTTTCCTACTTAGAACCTATGCTCCAGGAGACTGAACTACCTGCCACCTTGTGATTGTGGGCCCACACCTCCCTGCTCTCATGTGCGCATTTCAGCAACATTCACTGAGAACTTCCCCTGTGGCCGGCACCGAGCAGACCCCAGAGCAGTGAGTGAGACAGACAAGGTCCCCGCCCTCAGGAGCTTGTGTTCTAGCAGGTGACTCTGACCTCAATTCAGGGATGCCCTTGACCTCAGATGCTTCGCATGCCCTGGAGGGTGCCAAGGAGGGTCTCCCCCAAGCTACCTGACGCCACCCTGACCTGGCTGTCACACCTTCCACTCACCATACCCTCCTTCCTCCCTCCCTGACTTTATGGCTCTCTTAGGCCATTTAATTACATTCTATTTTAAATGAATTAAAAACCCACGGATGGAACAGAAATTATGGAGACACATAATTATTTAATTACTCAACACATCCACAGCTTTAGCCAAAGACCCTCAGCTGGCCTCTCTATTAGGTTCCAGATGTTGATGGAAAGGAGACTCAGCTCTGTCTTCAGGCTGTTCTGGTGGTGCAGGAAGCCAACAGCAAGGGACAAATGTGATGGGGGGGTGTCTTCTGGGGGACCCCAGGGGCCCACAGCTGGGGCATCCCACCTGAGGAGGGGGACCTGCAGCAAGGCTGCAGCAACTGGACTGCGTCCCCCCAGCCCCACCACATCAGTGACTGGCTCACTCTGTGATCTCCACCCTTGCCTCTTGGCAGGAAGGCCCCAGGAGGCCCAGAGGGACAGCGTCCCCTGAGGGGAAGGTCTGATCAGCCCGAGCAGCGTGTCTGCAGGGGGAGGGAAGGACCGAGGTCAGGCCGGGAAGGAGGAGAGCAGCTGGAGACTGTAAACCAGGCCCCTCTGATGGGACCACATCCCTTTTAGTTAGAAGAGCACTCCTACAACACTTCAGAAGACGGTGACTGCCCTGTGGCTTCACAATGACCTCAGCAACAGCTCCTGACCGTGTGCAAAGGCTTGGTCACCGTGGGACAGATAGCCACCAGGCCCCCCGGCCCCATCAGTGGAGGGCAGACGGCCACACCCTGCCTCCAAGCCCTGCAGGACCTCTCCCCTCCGGAGCTGCCCAGGCCCAGGTACAGTTGGCCCTTCTCTTGTTTCGGATGGCCTGCGTCTATTTTAACAGCAATAAGCATATGGCATCTCTAATTGTTAATTAGATGTCCTTTATCAGTTAGCTCTTAACAAAAACCCTTGCTTCTGGATAATTCTCACTCCGAGTTTCCCCTTTTGTTTCAAATACGGAAAGAAAATTGATTTGGATCATTTAGAATAAAACCGTACTTTTTTTCTCACTGCCAAAGTGCTCCTGTAAAAGTGGCTCAAAAATGTTGCCTGAATGATTTTAGGGTTATACCTGTATGTGTGTGTGTGTGTGTACATATATAGCTGCTACATGACAGATATGTAAGATCATTCAGGAATACACACACACACACACACACACACACAAACACACACGTGTATTCCCAGAAAGCCAGGTACAACAAAGTCATTAAAACTACAAGAGATAAATAACGAAAAGGGAGACAGGAGAGTTAACTAGACATGTAATAATCATACTAGAAAAGGAAAGATGGGGGTGTGTAGAGCTCAGTGGTAGAGCACATGCTTGGCATGAACGAGGTCCTGGGTTCAATCCCCAGTACCTCCATTAAATAAATAAAGAAATAAACCTAATTACCCCCACCCACCAAAAAAAAAAAAAAGGGAAAGATGAAGTAAACTGAGGCAAAACCCTAGTTCTGGGTGCCCTGGCTCCAAGGGCAGGAGGGTGGGAGTCACACGGCTCTTGCAGTGACTGCACTGCTCAGCAATGGGTACAGAAGGCCTTCTAGTCCAATTCTGAATGTGCTGAGTTAAACTAAGATGCCGTTTATCTCTGCAAAGAAGTTTGCTGAGCAGAGGAGCGAATGCCTTTAAGAAGTGGCTCAGGACAACGTGGCAGCCTCTGCGCTGATTTTTCAACGTCATCCTAAGTCCCTGTGTGTCCAGCACCACACATGTTCCTACGACGACTCACGGTCCATAAAAACAATGCCAAGCTCTGATTTAGTGCATCTGTTTTTAAGCAGCAAGTGCTGTAAAAGAAGAGAATACCTGGATTTGAGAGAAAGGGGGTTTCTTTTGAAGTGTAGCCAACAATCCCCACAACTTCATCACCAACACGAAGAATTTTGTACGGCGAATAAAGTCCTGATATTCGAGATGCTAGCGGCCCCTTGGCTTTAATGTTCGCACTCAGAATTGGAAATTTGGCCTCTTTGAGGAGTGGCTCAATCAGTCCTTCTACACCATTATCAAATTCATGATTTCCCAGTGCCTAATGGAAAGGGAAAAGAGAAAAAGAATTAGGTACTCTGGGACTGCCAATACAAGCATACTTTAAAGAATATTACCTTGGTCCAGGGCTCCTAAACCTGGCAGAGCCCTAGGAGGTGACTGTGTGACCCCTGAGATTTTACTTTGGGGCCCTGGGGTTGGGCCCAGGGGCAGCCAGATCATCAGGCTGGTTTGAGAATTGTCCCCAGACCCCGTGCCACCTACTAGGCTGGCATCAATGTGCGTAGGCGTCGCCTGGAGACCTGGCCAGATGTCCGCTGTCCTGTCACCCCCAGATCTGGGGCAGGGTTGAGCACCTGAATTTACCAGGCTCTGCCCAGTCCTCTCATATTCTGTTGTCTCTCATAAGCTTGCATTTCAATCCAGCAACCCCATTGCTCCAACCACCATCTGAAGGGGAGAAGCGGCATGGGGGGCGGGGGTGGATGATTAACAGACGCCAGAGGCTTTCCTTTCCCCTCAAGGCTCCACAGCACCTCCTGGATCATGATGTCCTGCGTTCCCACAATCCTTTCTTCCCAAGCACTCTATGGTCCTCTATTCGTCTGGGAAGGTGAGGACCCCCTGGGGCAAACAGATTTGACAGCAGGACATTGGTTTCTTCCTCCAGTCAGTTCTGGGCTCCCCTCTGTTTCATCCCCAGCAGCTTCACATCCAAGGACGAGCAGGATGGTGAAATCATCCCTGGCCTTTGTGGGGTCTGGACTCGCTCTGAGCTGGATGTTGGGAGGAGCTGGCATGCTGTAAGGCAACCCCTGCTCCCACCTTCTTTACTCGCTCCTGTCCCTCACTGCTCTGGGACCATCTAGGAGGGAAAACAGTTGCTCTGACATCTGGCATGGCCGCCACCTCCTCAAAAGCCTTCCACTCCCTCTTCCCCCTGGGGGCCTCCTGGAAGAAGCCCAGGTCTCCTGGGCCCCCACCCACTCGCTCTGGCTGCAAGGCTGGTTTGCTAACTTAGTGCGTAGGCCAGCGAGTTTCAGACTTTCTAACTACCACGTCGGATTTTGCTTCACTTGGAGGGTCATCCAGGAACGGGCCTGGAAGTGCTGGCTGGTGACCCCTCTGCCCAAATTAGGCCCCCGGATGCTCTTACTGCTCCCTGAGCCACCGTGCATCCCTCCACCTCCACCCTGCTCCGCAGGCAGCCTGGTACCTGTGCTCGAAGGACCGCGTACACATGTACACAGAGAAAGCAGCACAGTGTCTTCACTTTCCCACATGCCTGTCTTCCCGATTAAACTAGAATTTCTGAATCTGCCAACCCCCATCTCTGAATAAATGTGCATTTTTATTTCTTCCTCTTACCTAACTGCTTCCCCCTTAAAGGGTGACCTAGCTAAAGGTTCTCCCAGTCTTGGGTGATACTCTTTTTCTCGTCTGTTATTAGAACACCATGGTTTCTTCCTATGGTGAAAGAAGTCTGCCTTATGAGATTACAGTAACTTTCTGGTTTAACTGTAAAGCTTTTTTTTTTAAACGACTGTTTCTACAGCTCTTCATGAAAGATCACTCAGCGTGTTGGCCACCTTGCACTTAACCAAAAGCATATTGCTTCTGTGGCACAGAGCAACAGCTGTACTCAGTGTTTTCATTTCTTTGGCTTTCTTGGGATCTCCTCCTTGGACTGGAGTGTCAGACCCTCGAGGTGGTGACCTCGGCTGCCTTTTGACCTCTCTGCCGGGTGGGGAGAGAAGCCCCGATCTGGGTGCTCAATGCTGCGCATGGACTGGCTGAATAATCTCACTCACACACACACCTTCCACCCCAAACTGAACATCTGCATCCCTGACTTTTCTCCTGACTCTGCACCTTTATGTCCCACAGCCACAGGGACACCGCCCCTGCCTTTGCCCCCAGCAGTTACATTTTAAATCTCTGTAATTTAAGAGACTCGCAAAATGACCTTCTTCAGTTATCTCCAACACCAGGATTGTAGGAATACAATGAAAGTGTCTGGCTTAGCCCCAGCTCCTGACCTTCACTGCTTCCTTTGTTCAGGAGAAATCTAAATATTAACTAGGATAAATTGGTAGCTTGGGATTTGCAGATACTAACTACTATGTATAAAATAAACAGCAAGGTCCTACTGTATAGCACAGGGACCTTCATACATTCACTACCTTGTAACAGCCTATAATGAAAAAGAATATAAAAAAATCCACATACATGTGTATAATTGAATCACTATGCTGTACACCAGAAATTAACACATTGTAAACCGACTATACTTCAATAAAAACAACAGAAAACAAAACTGAACCAAACCAAACCAAACCTGATGATCTTCTATGAAAGAAACTTTCATGGAAAACAATATGGAGATTCCTCAAAAGCCTAAAAATAGACTTACTGTATGATCCTGCAATCCCACTTTTGGGCATATATCAAGACAGAACCTTAATGCAGAAAGATATGTGCACCCCAATATTCATAGCAGCACTATTTCAATAGCCAAGACATGGAAACAACCTATATGTCCATAGACAGATGACTGGATAAAGAAGTTGTCGTGTATTTATACAATGGACTACTACTCAGCCATAAAAAAGAATAAAATGCCATTTACAGCAATATGGATGGACTTAGAGACTGTCATTCTAAATGAAGTCAGAAAGAGAAAGAAAAATGCCATATGATATCACTTATATGTGGAATCTAAAAAGAAGACAAATGAACTTATTTACAAAACAGAAACAGATTCACAGACATAGAAGACAAGCTTATGGTTGCCAGGGTGGGAAGGGATAAATTGGGAGTTCAAGATTTGTAGATACTAATATGCATAAAATAGGTAGACAAATTCATACTGTACAGCACAGGGAACTACATTCAGTATCCTGTAGTAACTTATGGTGAAAAAGAAGATGAAAACAAACATATAGATGTACGTGTATGCCTGAAACATTATGCTGTACACCAGAAATTGACACAAAATTGTAAACTGACTATACCTCAATTATATATATATGTGTGTGTGTGCATATATATGAAGAAATTTCCACATTCTCCATCTAGCCCAGCCCAGTATTTCTGACCAACCAAACACTTCAAAGCTAAAAACAAATGAAAATGTAAAGACAAGAGATCTGCTTCTTCTGTGACTCAAAAGCCTCTTGTTGTTAAATGAGCTCTGAGGAATACAGTCAGATGATTTTTACCCCCTTCTGCAGGTATTTGTTAACATTTACATTTGATGTGTTTTATTTGTGCAAGTCTAGTGGCTTTCGAGAAGCTCTCTGTTGACTAAGGAGAGGACCCAGGAGACTTTTCCAGTCGTATGAGTCAGCAGTGGAAGTACGAAGATATTCTGAGATTTCTGTCTCCAAGTTTCTTGTTTTGATTTGTAAAAACACCCTGCACTTAGAAGTGAGGGAAAGCTTATGTTGACAGACACTGGTTTGTAATTCTCATGAATTCTGAATCCAGGACAAAGTCTAACTTCCTTTGGGGATAAGCAATTTCCTTACTAGGACCAATTTTCAGCTGCTTTATGAGGTGATCACAACTGTATTGATTTATTTAATTCCATTGCACTGTACACTAAAGAGAATTTAACGTTCAACTATCATCTTTTGGATACCAAAGGGAAAGGAAGGTTCCTAGGATCCATCCAAGTTGAAGTGCAAACAAATACACGAGGTCATAATGCCACCCCCCGCCCCTTCCTTTACCCAGGGCAGATGTCTGTTCACTGATGGAGTCAGTGTTTCCCACTGAGGCTGGACTGAACCTCAAAACCCTTTCTGTCCTGGCCCTGCAGGAAGTCACTGTCAGTCAACTTGAGATGAAACTGTTTTTCACGCTCATGCTAATAATTAAGAGTATGGAATCCACGGGCTTCTAACAGCAGTAAGATACATCTTCAGTGAGCACCACAGGCTAGAGGCAACACCTTCAAATCCTTTCTGATGTTTCTCTCTTTGCCACGTTTGTTCTGCAAACGGCGTGGATGCGATCTGCAACTGAATTCAGCCATCAGCTGACACGCTGTGGCCTGACCACACTGTCCTCCGAGGCCATGTGCCCACTTCCAGGTGTTTTCTTTCCCAAAGCTCTTTCTAGGGGCAGCTGCCATCTCCCCTCATTTACTCCCTTCACCCATTAAAAAAACGCTGCCAGTGGTATCAGTGGATGAATGAACAGAAGAAATAATAAGGACACTCCACAGGGTGAGAGTAGGAGAAACGTGCAGACATTTGGCCTGGGAGTGGGTGGGCTGCTGGCTGACGCAGGGAGGAGGACCAAGGCCTGAACCCTGGTGCTGCTACTCATCTGTCGTCTGCAGGAGGGAACGCGGAAGCCAGCGGCCATCCGACGGCCTTCTATGAAGGCCTCTTATTATTCCGGAACATTTTGTTTTTATGGAGAAATCTACTTGCTGACTTCTCCAGTGACAGTCGACTGATCAAAGCAATTTCTCTCCCTGTTATGAAATAGTCTGCAGTAATCAGCCCCTGTAATAGAAAATGACAAATCTGACTCCGTGTTAGATCTGTTTCTTTGGCTTTAACCCTGTGCCCTGTTTTCTAGGCTTAATCTTGCCAGCGCTGCACTTTCTGTAAGAGTGTTGCCTTTAGCCTGAAATACGCAGGAGAGCCTATTCTCAAGGCTCTGACCTTTAAGGATGTTAACACTTTTGCACTTACATGAAGATAACAAGTTGCAGAATAGAAAATAACATTTGTTTTATTAGAGGTTTTACAGGGGCACCATGACCTGATCCACCTGGACAGCTGCAAGAACAAAAAATTCCGACACCAAGAAGTCTGCAACAACCAACCACAGCTCCTCCCTTTTTTAGTATAAAAGAAGAATGAATTCTGACTTGGGGAAGATGGTGCTCCAGGACATTATGCTGCCATCTTCTTAGCCTCTCGGCTTTCCGAATAAGTTTGCTATTCCTTGCCCCAGCACCTCATCTCCTGATTTACTGGACTGTCGTGTGGTGAGCAGAACAAGTTTGGACTTGCTAATACC